ATGCTGTCCATCTCAAATTGCAGAGAACACAAAATGCAAAATATGCAAAGAGAATTCCACCTGCAGACACGGGCATGAATAAAAACCAGATATGTCAGACATGATGCTTGTAACTGTGTGAATATTAGCAAAGTGTTGATTACCTGTTATTTCCAACTATGAGATAGGTCAAGGAGCTTGTACAGGAACATTCAGGCTTAGGAAGTCATATCCAAGAACTATCAGTTTTAATAAGAAAGCAACCAGCTATGACTATAAATTGAATCTCAGGCTTCTTCCTCAAACATCTCATTATCTGGATAACTTCTTTAAAATGTAAAAGAAAAAGTATGATTCTTTTTTTTTTCTTTTTTTGTGGGATGATAGTAGTAAGCAGTTTATCAATCATATGCTTCATTTCCAAACCTCAAGCAGTAAAGCCTAAAAGAGACACCTACAAAAATCAGTCACCTTTTCACCATTAAAACACCCACAACATAAATCCAGGCTAATGAAACTTATTGCAGTGACAAGATTGGTATCGTATACAGAGCACACCCTTCAAGGTTAAGAAAGAGCAACAGAAGACCAACGAAAGAGTCTCCTGTTAACCTGTAAAAGCACATTTCAGCCAGTAATAGGCTGTGACAGAAAATCACCATGATCACCAACACAGAGGATAGCTGCTTCCTGCATAGATACACAGTCTATTCCAAGATTTTTAATGTTTGGGTTGTACCTAGAAATGGCACATCCTATATCCAATTTAGTGATTACTGCTCCACAATTATCTATCTAGCTTATGACAAGTGTTGAGGTTTTCCCATTAATTTATTATTCCCGGTTTTCCCATTAATTTATTTAATCAAAACTTCTGTTTCTGAAACACAAGATCTAACAGTAAAGACTTTAGAATGACTATTTAGTCTTTAATACCAAACACTATCACTACAAACCTCTAAATAAATAAATCAGTCACATCCTACTGGTACTAGCAGGTGCCTTTATGACACAAAGGATCTCTAACCCAGGTGAATCCACAGGTTCACACATTACAACCACACAGTCTAACCATGAGGTACTAGCACCCCTTATACCAACTGTTCTGTAATGTAAGGTAGCTCCTAGCTTGGTAACTGCTATATTTACATAAAATATTTACTGTTAGTAGTTTGGGGGTTTAGCGCAGGTATCAGCTTCAGATTTCAAAACAAGGCTACACTTTCTATTTAGGGAAATAACTCCTACATTTTTCAAAACATCAGGAAAAAATATTTCATATAGGTTTAAGTTTCACAAAAACCAGAGGTTTTGTAAAAGAATTTTCATCCCTCAGTTCATCCTTTCACTGTCCAAAGATACAATTTTCATTTTCAGTCTCTCATCTTTGGTGTCATTATTTCACTGTATGAACCTTCCCTTTGATTTCACATAATGAAGCAATTTTAGATTAGAATAAAAAAATTCCTCCTGAATTAAGAATGCTATTAACAGAGGGTCTTCTCCACATAGGAAAATAGAATCTCTTTATTAGGCTCCAAAATGTCAAGGAGTTACATGTTTCTGGGGCCATAAACCTTTGCAACAGCAAAACATAGGGAACTGTTCCAAGTGTAAACTAAGAGTCTCCAATACTTAATAGGGCTCTTTCCAAGATAAAGCGTGCCTCTAAATTCATATTATAAAGTCTAACTATTTGATCCATAAACAGATGCAGCTTATAAATTATACATATATAGTATCATTTTTTCACTAATAAAATAAGCAGTACTACCAACAAAATAAAGTGCTAGACAGTGTCTTAAAGGTAGTTTGGTTTTGCAGTTTTTTGGGTTTTTTTTAAACAATGGGAAGTCCACTCATGAATAAGGTGTATTTTGTGAAGCATATGTGGCGGATAGTTCAGAGACACCACAAGAGCACCACAAAAGGTGCAGCAGCATAGTCTGACTTTCAGCCAAGGCCACCTCTCAGCTACTGAACATTGTGTTAAACATTTAGTGATAAGGTGTTGCATAATGCAATTCTCCATTTTATTTAACTGTAAGTACTTGTAGCGTTTGAGATAAGACACTGGCTGCCATTGCAAAATTATTGTGAAGAAACAGTTCAACTTTTATTTTACTTAAGAAATCAGTCTTTACTTAAGAAATTGAATCAGGTTTCCTCAAGGTCTATTGAACTCTTATCCAGTTAAACTCTCAGAGAGAGTGGATATTCATAACTTCTTATCATTATTCCATCATGCAATGTTAGTTGGGATGGATTGAGGATCTTGTGATGATTTACTGATTTATGAAAAGCAGAGAGGTTTCTGCCAAAATTCCATGCTGAAATCTAGAATAGATCTAGAGTTTCATCTCTCCCCATTACAAGGAGAGGAAGGTGGATCCAGGTCTGGACTATGATGCCAGATTTTCTTCTTAAACCATCACTACACAAAAAAAAGACAGAAAAGACAGCAGCTTTTGTGCTCAGTGATGACTGCTGTTTAGGGAGGGCCTAGCAGATCAAACAGAGAAACCATGCATGAAATTTTTGGTTTGCTTTTGTCTGTAAAAAAAACCCCAACAAAAGCACTACACTGGTATCAGGATAACATGTCAACAAGAGGGGAAGCAACTGTCTTCCTACAACAGCAGTTGCAGAAAACATGGGCAAATAAGCAGGTGAAAGGAACTTCTGGCACTGAAAACCTTTACTGGGGTCCCAATTCCAGAGTATGCTCCTCTGGTATTTTAGAGGATGGCTGCTGTCTCCACAGCTTTGTGCACAGCACACTCATCCCACGGTACCCAATCTCTTCAAGTTGTGTCTCTTCCCCTCAGTATAACCTTTATTTGTTGTCAGCCAAAAGCAGGTACCTCTTCTTCAGTATTTACAACGCACACTTCATTACTGCACCTGAATGGCACTGGGCAACACTTCACAACCTACCAGTTGCACCAATTTGCAGTAACGTAATGTCCATCTATCACACAAGATTCACCTTTACAGCTCCTATGCTCTTTTCACATCTATTTATTTTTAATACTGATGGATATACAAATGGATTTCTTGCTGAATTTTCTCAAGAAAGTCTCACTTTAGGATTCTCTGGTGTTTTCCTTCCCAGAGTAAAGAAATGAGAAAAGAAAGCCGACAGCCTCTGTCTCCAAACTAATTGCTGTGTAATAATTTTTGATAAGAAATAAACAGTTTATGTATATCTATATACATATAAAAGAAAAAAAACAGTGTCTGTGCATATATTTATTTTAAAAGATATAACTATTTCAAGCCATACATACCCACAGGTCCTGGATCTGTTTCTGGCTCCACCCTGACCTCCTGCAATACTATGCCTGTTTTGGTTACGGCAGCTCCTTCTGCAAAGGTTTTTAATGAGCAATTCTACAGTACCCAGCCCTGGAGGCAGCCAATTTGCCTCTGCAGAGCCAGCTCTGGGAGACCCAGGGCTGCCAGCACAGCAAGTTACCCTGCGCGGGCGGGGTGCCCTGGCACAGAGTCTGCCTGCCGCAGGGGGGCTGGCCCACGTAGCTGGAATTATCAGTTATGATAACTGTGTCTGTTATGACACAGTTAATGCATTTTTAAATGCTTATTTCTAATTACTCGGTCTAAACCACGAGAGCTATTACTATTAAAAGACTAACATAAGCCTGCAGGTTTCTCAAGTGATTTTTTTTTCTCATTTCTCACAACTGTTTTTTTCCAACTTTATCTAAATTACTAATGGCTTTATTGTTATCAAAAAACAAAAGCAAAATTGACCAGCTGCCTCCAAAAGGTATTTAAACTGCCTTTGACCTCCAACTTGCACAGAAAAAGCTTATGGTTCTATCACAGAAGACATGATCCCCAGCTAATATGACAATAAAGCAGACTGGGGAAAACAATTTGTTAGTCATATGATTCATTTATTATTCAAATGTAATGATTAATTAAATCCCTTACATTAAAAAAAGAAAACTTACTCTGCTTCGTAATTATCACCACTTGAACCATCTCTTCACTGCATCAACCTTAAGAAAAGGAGACACTGCAGAAACTTTCTTCTAGAAATTCAAACTCTAATAACACTTTGTACTTTATTAATTAAATTATTCCATCTTTAACAAAGTATCCAGAATCTAAAAAGAAGAGTCCAGGACTATGAGATTCTTGATTTATACTAGAAGAAATGCCGAAAAAGACTGTAATCAAATTAGCAAATTGAATTCAAGTATATTGCCCAAGCCAACATAACGCAAATGATTGGAAAGTGATTCTCAACAAAAAGCAGACAGCTAACAAAAGTCCGTATATCAATGCTTTTTTATAAAACCTTTAACAATTAAAAATCATGCTTAACATTTCTAATGCCACCACACAGAAGGGCTTTTTCCCCTCATACAAATAATATATCTACTGCTGAGAAAGGGGCTATCAATCATGGTAGTAGTTTGCAAAGAAATATCACAGTATCAATTCAGTCCTCAGAGAGATCAGATTTATGCTATGTTACTTCAAAAAGAGTATGTTAACTTATCATTAACTCCATATATGCTTAAAACACAACTCTGGATACACTTAAATAAAACCACAAAAAAGCACCACAAACAATAACAAAAAACACCACCCCAAAAACCTACCCAAGTTTTGATAGCCAGTTACTAATAAGTGAAAGCACTAATTTAGAGGGAGACTCCTACCAACTTAGGACAGTTCAGGTTCACCTAAGAAGTTTAAGGCTCACTGTTTATAGCTTCCAAAACAACAGGGGTTTAAAGGGGAAAAACACTCTTTTCTTGTAAGAAAAATTTTGAGAAAATTAAATAAACCTAAAAGGCAGTATTTCTATAGGTACTGTACATCTATAGTTTCTGATTTCAACAGAAGTTGCATAAAAGATATAGCAGTACATATTATTACTGGGCCATTAAAATCACAGTACTTTGGTCAAGTATCACTGTTCCCCTTTTGGAAAGTTCTGAAAAAAGCAAGCAGTATTCAGAAACATATTAACTTCTCTAAGAAAGTTTTGCATCAAAACTCTGCTTTTAAACTTTTATTTTTTAAACAACAACAACAAAAAATTGTCCACTTAAGAAAGTTGTCACCATCTTACATTTCAGAATACAAAACTGAAAAAAATCCCTATTAAAAAAAAGACAGGACTTCAGCCAAGTATTCAGCTACTTATTGCTGTAGTTGTAACTCAAGTCCATTGAAACCCTTGTGTTTTGGTCATTTGTAGCGAAAACATGTTTGGAATACTAGCAGCAATAGAAAACCCCTTTAAAACCTAGACATAGTTACACTGTTGAGTGAAAATTAGCAGAAACCATAATCATTGGAACATAATAAAGTATCCTGTAAAATTACAATTTAATTGGTAGCTAGAAAAACAGGGTTGACTTAAAATGCTAACCCAAAGCCTTATATGGGCCTATGCCAGTAAAGTCCATTTTCCCCCACTAGATAAAGCTGAGAACAACACTACTTGAAACATAACAAATGCAGTCTTCACTCCGCTTCAGTGCCTCATCTCCCCCAACCTCCTCCAAAAGGTAGACTACAGAAGATTGAAATAATGGCCAATTCCAAATTTAGGTGATATGCACAAATATACTGTTGAACAAAGTTTAGACAGCAAACAGTACACCTGAGTTCAGTCATACAAACTAACTTCTGTAAATAGCGTTAGACGAATATATCCATGTCTCTAATATGAATCTAGATGTATTTTCTTACAAAATGCATTAATAGAAATCTCCAAGCAAATACATACCATACAATAGCAAAAGCTTTAAGCCCCATTTAATAAGATGACTTTCAGATTAAAAATAGAAGGCAATTAAGATTTACTCAAAATTACAATTAAGAAAAGCATTCACAGTGCAATATTGAAACTGTCACAAAGTTAAGAAAATACTGATATCAAAGTACAATCACAATGTTAAAGTAGACAAAACTAGCATATCTTGTAAAATTAAAAGGAATGAACACAACATAGGGGACATCTCACATCTCATGTCCCTGCTCTACATATCTCATTTCCTAGTCTTCAGAGACATAAGTGTGTCTTTTGGACATTGGTAGAAATCTTGTTAAAACTAAGAGGTTCATTCTTCTTTGTAGAACACATTTCAAAGCCCAGTTACTTCTTGAAGATAGGTTCTTCATCACTGCACAATTTCAAAGTAGTGCAATATTGCCATGATGTGCTGAGGCATGAACACATAGCCTGTGTAGAGTGCCATTCCAACAATGGAAACCAGCATGGAATCTGAATTACAGTTGAGGAAAAAAGCATTTGAAATAGGAAGTGCATGAGACATCACAAACTATAGCATTAAAACTTTACCGGTTACTATCTTATAATGTTATGTTTTTCAATCAGACAAGGTCAACTGCATTCAGAAATTACAGCTATAGAAAGAACCTACTGAACACCCAAAACCAGAATACCGGTAGAAGCAATTACCTGAATTGCAAAGGATGCCTTGCAAGTTATCCACTGCCTTGTCACAGACACAAGAGGACAGGCCAGAGCACAGGAAGAGTGATGGAGAACAGAAAACGGGCACTTAGAAGACACGGGTTTTTACATGCATCTTCCCAGGTGTTGAGCAAGTCTGTAGAAGCCAGCCCCATCCAGCCAAGCACAAAAAAGTCAGCCATCACAAAAATCCAAAACAAAACAAAACCACAATAATATGATAGCTGTACTGAATACTACTATTCTTATTTGTGGATGACCTCATTTTTAAGCAGACAGCATTAGATGCTGATCTCAACTTCCTGGAATAGAATGACCTAAGAAATGCAATTTATGATGCACAAAACACATCTGGTGTGAAAGTTGTACTGTTAGCATAATAGTCAGGAAACCTCACATCCATTTCTAGCTTCCAGTGTCCTCTAGGGCTCTAAGTCACTACAATATTTGGTCCGTTTCTCCATCAGTAGTACTTTACTATAGCAGATCACACTGCAAAACAAACTTTACATGAAGCTATTATCTAAAAAATCTTAAGATGACCACTTTATTAGCTGAACGCCTAACAGAAGCGAGACAATAGCTTATATGTACAACTGGACTTTTGTCAAGCTCTAGGGTTCTTGAAGCTTTATCTAAAGACATCAGATTACTGAAAGATTACACCACTGAAAGCTTAAGGTTTCAGAAATTCAAAAATAATGGAAATTAATAAAAATCTGTTGATTTCATCCAACTACCTGCAGAGATTCAGTAAACTTAGACCAAAGCACTATAAAAAGCACTGCAGATTAACAAGTGTGATAACCCCAGACAGCAGTACTCAGTTTCCACAGGTGAAACCAGAGGAGCTGTGCGTGCTCTGCCTCTTCGTGAAATCAAGTCACCACACACAAGTGTAACAAATGCTCTATGACTGACTTCCCTATGGCAGAGCAGAGGTATTAGCTGTGCTTATTAGAGCATACTAGCTGCTTAGTGTATTTATAGTCCCAGAAGACAGTAAGAGATACTAAAATGAAGGTCAACACATAAATCCACATTTCCGTATCAGCGCTCTCCTCCGATGCTGGAGCACAGGCAGCAGTGTGACACACACCGTTAGCTCCCAAGGCCGCTGTGTCTGTGCTGCAGCCATACACCACCCGGCAGACGTGGCCCACCCACGGCCAAAGAGTCCGGTCTGAGGACAAAAAAAAATTTTGCTGATCTGAGATCACAAGCGATACTTGTGCCACTCACTACATTTGTCAGTTATGTGGCAATTACAATATGAGCATTTTATGAAAGTAAATATGCATACACTTTCACTTAAGTTAAAAAGGAAAAAAATACTCATGACTAATATAATTGCAGTGAAAACAGAAATTTAGTTTCCTCAGTGAAAGATACATGGCGTAAAAGGAGAAAGGTTAGTTAGCAAGGAATACATTTTGAAGGTAAGAACCCCTAGCTAAAGAATTGTGCATGGTAAGTCTACTATAAAAGTAGTAAGTTTTTATAATCTCCATTTCTACGGACTTGACACAGGAAAAAAATAAATGTCTGATCACACCACTATAACTTGGGCAACCACTCTTACATAGCAAAAGTGAGTTTCTTTACAGAACTGAGCAGTATGTCAGTAAAAGCACCTTCTCACCACTACTTACACCCTTCTCTTTGTTAATGTTTTCATTCATTTCTCTTTGCCTCTCAGTGTTAACTGGAGATGGCTCAGGGTCATTCCAGATATCGTTTTAAGTCAAGATCAAAACAGCCACACTTCAGAGAGAAATACTTGCAACGCCATAACAGTACTTGAGAAAATATACTACTGCTAAGAAAGGACCAGGTAAAGAAGAAAACCTGTAAATAGTCTTGATACAGATGCCTTTACATGAGCATCTATCAAGTTCTTCCACTCCAAAAGAGACAAACTTAACAGTTCGAGGATTAAATACCTATATAAGAAAAGCCACAAGACAAAGCACCATGAAAACCTAGGCTTGCAAGGTTTTGCAGCGTGCACATTTACTTTCCTCTAGGCAAAAATACAACAGAAAACACTAAAGACACCTTAACAAAAATGCTCGGGATTTCAGTACAAAAGCCGGAACTGCCGTAACTCTAGAGATATGAACTTGTGCTGCAGGAGAAACGAACTAGGTCGCCAGACGCCCGGACACGGGATGCGAAACAGCTGAATGAGGATTATTCCCAGATCGGGCAACATATTAGTTTGGGAGGGAGAGGAGCCGAGCCCCTGCCTGCGAGGAGGGGACAAGGCTCGGTTCCGAGCGGAGGCTGCCGCTCCTCTGCCCACTGCGTGCTCCGGCCGCGCTCGGCGCCTCAGGCCGGCTGCCCCCGGCCCAGCCCGGCCCCGCGCCGCTCCCCTCCCGGCCCGACCCGGCCCGACCCGGCCCGACCCGACCCGACTCTCCTCCACGCCCAGCAAGCCCCGGCGGGGCAGCGCCCTCAGCACGGCCACGGCCGAGGCGCTCCCCCGGCACCGCGCCCGCCGGCCCGGCGGACCCGCCACACCCGCCGGGCCGCCTCGGGGCAGCCCCAGAGCCGCCGCCGGGCAGAACGGGGGCCGTGGGCAGCCCCCAGCGCCGCGCACACACACACTCTCCGCCAGAAGGATACTGAAAACGGTGCGTTCCCAGGGCTCCAGCATGTAGAGCGCGGTGACCAGCAGGTACTGGTAGTACAGCCACGACATCTGCTTCAGCGCCGACACCAGCGCCATGGCGCTCCCCGCCGCCAGCGGCACCGCGCCGGGCCCAGGCCGAGCGCAGCCGGGGCGGTGCAGCCGGGACAGCCCTCCCCCGGCCCCGCCCCGCGCCCGCCGACACGGAGAGGCCGCGGCCTGTGGGACCCGCACGGGGCGGTACCGGTGATCCCACACCCGGCGGAACGTCTGAGGCACCCCTGGCACACCGGTACCTCGGCCTTCCCCGAGGAACGCCCACATCGGGCCCAATCTTATTACATTGCGCGACTGGCTCTGAACCTGGTAACCTGCCAGCCCGAGTCACACCTCCTGTTCAAATTTGATCTGGGAATCGCTGCAGACCCGAAGCCGGAGCTCGGCAGGGCCCACGGGAGGCACGTTAAAAATGCTCTGCACAGGCCTTCTGTTTCGTTGTCAGAGGGTAAAGCCCATCCGAAAACATGGCTCGGATAAATGCGACCTTAAGATCGGCCAACTGTGATGGCATTGATCCGTATGAATAGAAAAAAGAAAGAAGATTTAAAGGATCAACTGTTTACTGTGACTGTTGCTAATTTTTCACTTCCCTAAGGCACTTGGAGCCAGAAACCAGAGGGTGTGAGACACCCCTACCCTGACTGCTAATTTGCCTAAGATTAATAAGAAATTCCCAGAGAGCAGTTTGGGACTACATGATTAGGAAGGCTCTTGGCAGTTTATACTGTCACTCTAGAAGGCACGAGTTGAAAGCCAGCTGGAAAGCGATGTACACAATCATCAGGCACCTTAACTAAGCAGAGCGTGCATTGCAACCACCAGGGAGCAGGTCCAGGTCACCAGCCAGGACCTCATTTGCCAAGTGTGCACACCGTAGCCGCCGATTAGAAACTGAAGTCGACCCACTATACTCACTCTGCTTGGTAAATCAATTTGCAGTTATGTCACTGAGCAGTGATTCTGTTCCTGCAGCCACCCCACTGTGCTGTTTGCACAATGAAAAACAAGGAAATACAACCACAGGAGGATGCACATATGAGTTATTTACAGAGCTGCAAAATAAAACTACAGGACCAGGAGATTACTGTGAAAAAGAAGAGCAGCTGGCAGACAGAACTTAGACTGTACTATTTCATGTGAAATCCCTGAAAAGGGATTTAATTCACCCAGAAGACATTTATACACACTTTATCTTTGCAGATTTATTAAAAGACAAGTAGCAATGAGAGCACTCACACAGTTAATACCCCACACAACTGCCTACAGGAGCTGTTGCCCCTACCCAAGACTGCCGTTGCTTGTTGCAATTGCTGCTGGAGGAGCCCTGTGTTGGTGTAGCTGCTTGAAAAGGCAGTGGTAATCATGAAAGGCGCCTTTCTGTATAAACATGTCCAAAGTTCAAGGACAAGTGGGGTATTCAGCACAAGTAAAGCATTATTCCCATTCTAAGCTGCAAGACCATTATCAACATGGAGCAAACAAGTCCCAGTCCTGTCTGCTCCTATGATTCCTAACAAGGAGCTCTGCAATTCAAGTGGTAAGGCAAACAAACCACAGCAGCAAGAAAGGACCTGGGATAAGAGGAAAGGTAATATCTAGATGTGTGCTGTCTTCAAAATCCCCCACTGCATCTGCCCTAACACCCCAGGGTGGGTGGCCCCTTACACTTTTTTGGTGTGGTGCATATTCATGAGAGGTTTTTTGCTAGTTAGCCCCTTCAGAAAATGGACAATATTCCTCTGTATAGAGTTTCCCGTCCTTCACCAGCTCCGTTTTACCCCTGCTTAGGGACTGTCATCACTTAGTAATAATCCTGATACCACCCACATCAATTCTTGAGCCCTTGAAGTACATTCCCACGTGCTCATGTTTCCAGCAGGTCAGTGAAAAGACCCTTAACCTAGAAAGCCTTCATGCTTCACCTGGAACATGAAGAGAGCTACATCGAGGCCAGCATGCCTGAAAGCACAGACCATATGCTCTGTATCACATCTGTTCCTCCATACTTCTGCCAAGAAGAAACAGTTCTTTGTACATTCAAAATTTTCCTTATGCACCTCCTGGCTCATGGCACACAGTAACAATTTCTCTCACTTTAAATGATCCCACAGCTATCTAATACTGCAAGTCAGACACTCCACTGAGGAGTCTGACTAGTAGGTAGCAAAGCTGAGATTGAGATCTTGTTTCAGGCATATCCCAAAACTCAGAACCTGCATGGCTCCATTTTATTTGTAGGTTGCACATGCAGAGGAAGGTACATCATACTGGCCAACCAATTAAGTGTTCAGCAGCTGCATCAACAGTTCTGTACTTCATCAAGCAGAAGATAAGTTTCTGCTGATTTGAAAATAGGAATTCAATGTTTTTCTCATGTAATCCTGACAGAAGAACCAACATGTTTATTTCTTCCTAATCTCATTAACAGTGTAGAATGAGTGTGTGTAGATTAGTAAAATACTACACCAGGGACTACAAAAGGTAACCAAAGAGTCACAAGATTTTGTTATAATCTAAGGCACAAAAGAAGTATGTTCTTCAGGTTCTTGCCTCCTAAGTTCAAATATTTCTGACAATTCCTCAAAGCACATATAACAAATTATTCCTAGTACTATTACAACAAAAAGCACAGGCCACTCTATCACTCACCTCTGCAAGTGGACGGGAGAGAAAACATAGGGAGTTGAGATAAGGATCAGGAGCGATCACTCATCGCTAACTGTCATGGGCAAAACAGACTGAACTTGGGAGATATTAATTGAATTTATGACTAACAAAATCAGAGCAGGATAATGAGAAGTAAAATAGATCTTAAAAAAACCTTCCCCCCACCCCTCCCTCCTTCCTAGGCTCTACCTCCTCCCACCCAGTGGTGCAGAGAGATGGGGAATGGGGGTTACCGTCAGTTCATCACACATTCCTGCCACTGTTCAGGGAGAGGAGTCCTTTCCCTGTTCCAGTGTGGGGTCCCTCCCACAGGAGACAGTCCTTCACAAACTTCTCCAATATGAGTCCATCCCACAGGCAACAGTTCTCCACAGACTTCTGCAACATGGGTCACTTTTCCACAGGGTGCAGTCCTTCAGGCACAAGATGCTCCAGCATGGGTCTCACAGAGGGTGACAAGTCCTTCCAAGAAACCTGCTCCAGCGCAGGCTCCTCTTTCCACGGGTCCACAGGTCCCTGCCAGGACCCTGCTCCAGCATGGGCCTCCCATGGGGTCACAGCCTCCTTTGGGCACATGCTCTGACGTGGGCTCCTCCACGGGCTGCAGCTGCATCTTTGCACCCCTGTGGACCTCCGTGGGCTGCAGGGGGACAGCTGCTTCACCATGGGCTGCAGAACCTCAGCTCCAGCACCTGGAGACATCCTCCCCCTCCTCCTCCACTGACCTTGGTGTCTGCAGAGTTGTTCCTCTCACATATTCTCACTCTGCTCTTCTCTGGCCACAACTACTTCTGTGCAGTAACAGAAGCTATCGCCGCTACCAAAAGCTGGCCACGCAGTAGTGCATCACTTACTTTCTCTCTCCCTCCCCTCACTATTATCATCATCATAATCATCTTTGGTTTCAGCTATTAAATTGTTCTTATCTCAACCCATGAGGTTTACCTTTTTTTCCAAATTTTCCTCCCCACTGAGGGAGGGGGGAAGTGATCAAGCAGTTGTGTGGCTTAGTTGCCAGCTGAGGTTAAACCACAACACAAACCTACCTGTGTGCAAATCTACCAAGAACACAAGCCTAAGGACACCCAACATGCTGACTTAAGAGTTGTTTATCCCATGCCATAAACATGACCAGTGCAGCTACAGAGAACCAGTTACTATACAGTATTTATTCCAAGGACCAGTTCTAATACATACTCAGATAATGGATAGTATATATACAGGGAATGATCATCATATACAGATCTTACATGATATTTACAAAATTTTAAATCCCCAATGATGCAATCGCCTGACAGTAGAAAAGAATATTGCTCTCAAATGCACGCAGTTAACTGTATTCCTTTCATAAAGTTTGCAAAAGTCCAACCATTACAAAGTTCTCTGATGAAAATGCACATTTACAAGACCACAGTTTAAAAGGGTTAACATGCCTGCATTTCTGACACTTCCCACATTCTTAAAACAGTGCAGTAATTTTTCCCCCTGCATTTGCACATTAGGAGTGGCTGGCTAGAACATTGAAGAAGTGAAAAACTTCATCTTTATCCATTACTGCCACTTCAGTTGAGCATTCAGTACACAATACTGGATGATATACTTCCTCCTCTTCTTGATTTGATTGTACAGAGCTAGTTTCTTTGCTGTGCTTCATTTTCTTACTTCTGCTCTTTACCTTCTTTCTGTATTTCAGTATTTCCTCTTTGTTAACAACGCAGTTCATCACAAACATTGCTCTATACTGTGTTTTGTAAGATTCATGTCTATGGAGAAGGGGAGAAAATCTGTTACCATCACTGAAAATGGGATTAAAGATACGAAGTACTATGACAAAGAGCTGAAAGCCAAATAAATATGACATTCTATAAACAGAAGTCACAACTACAAAAATAATAAAATCATAGAATTGCAGCCATCTGTTATGTTTTTAAGGCATTTTTTAAAAAAATGCTGGCTGTTGCTGAAATAACCAGCCTGGAGTACAATGGTACTGGTACTGCAGAATTATGCATTGCTACATATAGCTGGCAATAGGCGAAAGATCAGGAGTGCAAATGACTCAGCTACTGGTACTGACATCCTAAAATGTCTTGCAAGCCTGCCATTCCTTATTTATAAATAACAAGCATTAAGACATCACACTAGAAAAAGCATGTCTATAGTAAAACATAAAATGCATTTTCAGCTGTCATCAGTCTTAACAACTGTATATCTGGAGCATGTAGCAAAACTCAGGGCTTTTGTTCAATTTAACACAATGTCCCTAGGGTGCAGTTTTACAGCAGCTAAAACCAACATAACAGTGGCTGCAGAAGTCCTACCTTGACTTCTGCTAGCTTTACTGCTTGTATAATGTTGTGCTGAGCTATTTCAGTTGATTAAACCCAGGAAAGACCAGTTTGGCAATAAAAATTGAGAGTTTTCTGTCAGCTTAGCAAACTGAAATAATTATAGAACAGGGTCAGGAAGTACCAGTGCCAGCAAGGCAGACAGACAAAAACAGCACCCAGTAGATGATTTAAGGCTGCTGTGGAATTTCATCCTCAATCATCAAAAATACTCAGTAAATAATAAGTAGCTTATTCCTCATTTCACAAGATTTTTTTCTCCTGTTACTCTCAGTTCAAGAGTCCTCTCCTTAGCACAGGGTAGGCAGCACTAACTAGATTTGCAATGAAGATACTGGAGAGCAGCAAACACAGTATGGATTCTCACATAAATCCTTTCCTGGCACTTTTAAATGTAACTAAAAACCACAACTGTTAAGACTCAAACCAAGTAAGAATTCACTATCTTGATTTTGCTTAATCCTCCTTTAACAAGGCTCTTTTACACAAAAATAACCTGTAATAGTTTCATGCCTCTGAACATCAAGCAAATAGGTACAGATATACATCTAAAAAAAACCCAATCTGCCTGAACTACCTGCTTAGTCCACAATTATTATTTTTTTTTTAAAAGTTTACCTTGTCCGCTTTGCTAAAGTTCTACCTTATTCTTCCACATGTCCCCATTGTAGGTTAAAGTGATCATCATTCTTACAAAGCAGCATCCAGCTCTAAACCTGATTCACACCTACCTGCCTTCTCTTTATTAGCGACACTTTGCAAGACAGAATTGATAAAATCCGTTGATCAAACTGAATATGATAAAAATACTCCTGACTGAAAAAAGACATTACAAAAAGACCCTTATTGTTCACTAGTTACCTCTGGCAGTCCAGGCATAATGTTGTCATGCAAGCAGGGCAATTCAAAACAGCATCACTATTGGGGACAGGTGCAGGTTTTGCCTGCTGCCGTTGTGGAGCTCTTCTTTGGTTACGGTACCTACCAATGCAAGAAAGGAGGAAGGAGAGACAAAAAATTAATTACAGGTCCTTGCTGTTGGTCATATCAAGTCAACTGTCAAACCTTTTTTACATTAAAATACACCATAAATAAAGCAGGGGGAAAGCACATACCAGTATCTTTTCATTTACTTTGTACAGATAATTTTCGTTTGGGGAGACAAATACATCAGCATGAGAATTTGTGCCTGATAACCCTCTCCTTTGACAAAGGAGATATCTCAAGTGCAATCTCTGTAGGCAACATACATTAATATTATCTTATTCAACAGATATACATGGAGAATTTTACTTCAGCTGCAACAACCATTTTTCTACTTTACCCTTCAAAAAACCCTCAGTAAAGCAGATTTGTGCTGTTCCTATTTTATCTGAACATTTTGTGGCTTGCTAAATTCAAAGTTTCCAAAAAAATTTCCAAAAATTTCCAAAACTAGAAATACAGTATTTAGTAGGAACAGATATTAATTAACAACCAAATTATCTTACAACTTTTAACTCACAGCATGGTTCTTCAGATGAGATCTACAGACAAAACTGGCTTACAGAAGTCAGAAATCTTGATTTTAAAAACCCCAAGTTTTGTGCAGTTTTACTCAACTTCCATTACATACACATTAAACATTTTATGGGCTTCTAAATTTCGTATGCTGCAAGTTATAAATAAAAAATAGTTTCGCTGCATGGACTTGACAGCACTGGCTTTTCCTATACATTCACCATTTTCATTTAAAATTCTCAGTTGATATTAGGCAGCCAAGGATGGTCTCTTACCCTCTCCTCTGTGAGTCTACCCACTCTTGGTCTCTACTGTCTTCCTCTGGGTCATATAGCAGTTCATCATTGGAAAGAATCCGACGTTGCTGATGTTTTCTGTTTTTCCGGACATCGTGTGTATCTGGAAAGATTTGTGCATAAATGTGTTACATCCATCAGGCATATGATAATTCTCTACTTAAATTATCAAAATATTTTTTCAGTTTTCCTTTTCCATCCTCACAGTAAATTTAAACTGAAACTTAAAGGTCTAGCTCATCTCTCCTCCACACAGATAGCCCCAAAGCATTAACACACCTTACATACACTGGGATGCATCATCAAGTTGCAGGAACTACACTGAGATTATATAGGCTGGTAATTCCCCCTAAAAGGCTGCCTTCAGGAACAGCCTCTTGACCCCCCCAAGAGAATTCTACAGGGTCTGAGAGTGAGAAGTACCATAAAGATGCCCTCCTCTCTCCTCTGTCATTTACCTGTTTTATCTTCATCCTCTGAATCAGAATCAAAGTAAATATCATCATAGTATTTTGAAGTGGTGGCAGGTCCAGTCTGCCCAGTACTTGACGAAGTACCTATGGGTGCAATTAGAGAAACAAATGGTAGGAACACAACAACAAAAGGACAGCAAGTACACAGCCCAGAACAAATGTGCACTTTTGTTACTCTATCCAGAATGCTCTGCTCTATCTGGGTGTGTTAAGTAACAGCTCTCCCAATTTACTCCCATATCCTGATCATCCACATCACTTGTGTTATTTCACTTACAGGTGAAAGCTGCAAAGCTACTCCTTCCCTCTGAGATGAACCTCAGGAAGGTTTAAAGGAAGGTTTCTCCCAAGGTACACTCCCTTTAGGCACAGAGAGCACCACAACAAATATGCCTATCTCTGCCCTGTGTAATACACAGAAGACACTCCACAAATCTTTAGTCATGTGAAAGAAATACAGGTGTAGCACACTGTTTCACAAAGTCTGATTACAATAAAATTCACTAAAAAAGTCCCCCAAAATTTCAGGGCCACAGAAGTTCAAAAAAGACCTAGATGAACTGCCAAACACATGCATCATGGCCTGTCTGCACTAAAACTCCTATCCTGTGCTGTATGGATGTGGTGGTGTAAATATTGCTATATATTCTTAACTGAACAAAATCATATTTGGCCACTAACATAGATAAAACTAATAAACACACTGAATGCAGAGTGAAGTCCCCAGACTGATGTGACTACTACATTGATTCACCAGCACATTAAGAACACTTTGCAAGTTGTTTTGTAATAAGTAAAAAACATATGTTAGTCAAATGCCAAAGCATCCATCTCTTGCACCCATAATATACAAATTCCAGAACACAGGTATCTTCAATACAGTTTTACTATTTGCTGCAACAATTATGAGCGGGTAAGGGAGGAAGCGATGAATATTTTTCATGTTTCCCCAACCAATTCAATACACCAGATGCTATTCCTTTCTTCAAGAAAGGCCTCTAAAGCTTGACAGCCATCCGAAACCACTAGATAAAAGTACAAGAGACTGCAACCTGCTCAAGAGACTTCTAAACGTGCATGAAAGAACTTAAAGAGATACTGGAAAAAAGGGGTCTGACCTAACGGAAAGAAATCATACTAAAGCAAGTAATCAGATGTTCAAAAACACCAAAACTGAAGTCTTAAAAAAAATGAAAAAAAAGCATTCACTGAAACAGCACCTTGTGATCATTTCCACAGGCACCATCAGCCTTTTAAGACTTTTCCCTTGGCTTCAAAAAATTCAACTATCACTGCATACACAGCCTCCCTAGCCAAGAGAATACTACATTAACTTCACTTAACTCATGACTTTTATATGCAAGCAGCTGTCAAGCATGATTTACCCATTTCTGGTGATTTCCATTTGCCTTCCATAGTCTTCATGGTGGTGTTCAGTTCTGCTTCCATCTCCTTTTGGAACTCATCATCACTGGAAGACTCACTCTCCCCAGTCAGGCACTCTCGTATCAGCTTCCGCTTCTGGTCAGGAGTGCCGTGTAGGAGCACATCCACCTCATCCTCTGAGCTACAAACATTTAAGCGTTACACACCTAATTGTTGCAACCAGTTTAAAACACGGTTTTAAACACCTAATTGTTGCAACCAGTTTAAAACACGGACAGAGAACAAACTTGGAGAACAAACACCTGAATTGTGTGGGTTCACTAGGAAGCACTTACTCATATGTTTATGGAAAACGTACTTATTAAAACACTTTATTAGCTTGGTGATATTAAAACTCTGGTTTAAACGCAAAGGAGCTTCAGCCGACTGTGTCCCTGCAGCTCCCGCTCCGCGCAGGGGCCGTTTTAACACACCGCCATCGGTGCGGTCAGAAACGTGAATACGCCGGTTCCAGGGAAGGAAATCCCGCGGCTGTTGCAAAGCCGATCCTCCTGCACCCCGCGAGCGGCCCAGGGCCGGGGGTAGGGCCGGAGGCAGCCCCAGCGCACAAGGCGCGGCCTGGCCCAGCGCCCGGGCCCGGAGACACCAGGCGAGAGCCGCCGGCCCGAGCCACCCCGCGGCCCGCAGCTGCAGGCGCCCCGGGCTCGCCCGCACCTGCTGAGAGCCCGCTCATCGTCGCTGGGCTCCTCCACCACGTACGGATCGTCCTCCTCCCGCAGGCGGCTCATGGCGGTATCCGCCACAACCCCGCTGCCAGGCCCGGCCCCGCCCCTTCCGCGCGGCCCCGCAGCTTCCGGCGGCCGAGCCCGCCCGGCCCCGCCCCCGCCGCCTCAGCCCGGCCCCAGGGATCCCGGGCGGCCCCGCCGAGAGAAGGTGGGGAGTGGCACTGCGGCTCTTTACCCTTTGCTCCTTGGAGTTGCAAGTCTTCGGGTCACGTTTTAAGCACTTTGCTCCGGCGTTACCGAGCCGGAATTAGAGTTTTAAGAGACACACCCAATACCAAGAGGATTGAAAAAAGTTTAATGAGCTAGTAACACTGAACAGCAAAAACTAACCTAAAAACTGTTCCCACATCCTACTTAAAATATTTACAATTTTGGTAACTGTATATACATTGTCATCTTTGTCCCTTATAGTCTATTTATAGATGAGTTCCTTAGGAATTATACCTGTTATATTTGGAAGATGAACAGCACAGTATTAGTGCAATAGGCATTGCTGGGAATACTCTGTACTAGGCGAGTTGCCAAGAGCCATTGGGCAATGGCCATCGAAGCCTGAGGTGATGCGTACACGAATCAACACACAATGCAAACTCCTCTGCAATGTTCTGATGTGCAAGGCAGCAGGGTAAGTATACTACACTGTGCAATTCACCCTATTTGAGAAAAAAAACAAAACGAAACAAATCTTTCACCTCTGGTACAGGGCATCTGTAACCACAGAGATATTGACTTACACTGATCTGCACTTCCAAATATACCATTCACCCAAAATTCTGCTGCTCCGCTGAAGGCCTACAAACCCATATAAAGCAGCAATCCCACTGTGAAGAGCAATTCATCAAGTAAAGCCTAATTTTACAACATCCTGAAACTACACAACAGAACAGCACCTCTTGGAAAAAATCTGTGGTTCAAGTAAGAGACATAAATCAATACAACTATTAAAACTGGCTTCATAGTTCTAAGTTCAGTTAGCAGAATGAGATCTTTTTCACACATTCCTTCATAGGGGATACCTTCACTTTTTTTTCTGAAGCAAATCTTTTTATCTCTATCACAGTGGGGCAGTATTACTTTTCATAGATATTTTATGCACTTTCTGAACTCCCTTCCACTACTACTTCACTTTTCTGGAAAGAAACCCCCAAGAAGTTCTCTGTAAAATATTTCTGCCAAAGAAATTGCAGAGTCAGCCACCAAGCTCAAAACAATTTAAGTACACTGGATAGAAAGTCACAGACAAAGAGATAAAACCTGAGAATGCAAGTGAAAAAGTACCGGGCGAGTAGTGTCAGACCAATCCAGTACTTAGTCAATGGTTTTTACGTGATGAGTAGAGAAAAAAAAAATCTAATTTACTAGAAAATATAAAGCTTACAGATGATACAATGTCTGCATAATTTTAGAAAAATCATTGATTTCATGGTTTATTTTACAATAATTGGATTAGTCTACAAGTTAAGGCAAACATACTAATGCATCTGCTTTTCTTTTTAAATCATAGTTATAAAGGTTACACAAAATTCTCCAAAATTTCTAAGAAATGTTCACAATTGAAAAAAAGATAAGTATTTTGATATCAGTACATGGAAAAAAACTAAGACAGTGTATACAATGTCATTATAGTAACAATATTGAAATATCTAATGGTAATATTTAGGCCATTTGAACAATGTGTTTCGAATGGTGAACTTCAGAAATTACTTACAAAGGTAAATAAGATTGCAGCTGTATCATAGTATTCATAACATGAATATGATTACATTGGCTATTTTCACAAAACCCGAGCATTTGTTTTCTGAACAATGAAAGCATATAATGATTAAATAAACATGAATATGTATGTATAACAAGTATACTGTTCATATAGTCTGGAGCTACTTTCAGGTGTTTGTTCTAATTCTTTTGAAAGAAGAAGCTTGCTTATGTGCACTTTGTCAAATGTTTTCTCCAGGGAACTGTAAATGCCTATTTAAAGTTATGAAAACAAAATCCAGAGGAGGGCAGCCCTTGTTAGTGGGAGGACGGAGCGTAGCTTATGTGTCACCGTTTAACACTGCCAGACAGCTCTGCAGAAGCTGTAAGTTACCCTGTAAAAATAAAGAAAAATATCACCACATTTCTTTCTTTTACGCTTGTGACAGATGTTTTTTAAATAGCAATACCAGCACTAAAGCAGAACAGACAAGTTTTAAGCATATGGAAAAATACTTGTGTAAGAAACTTTTATCCTAAAAGAGTTTTTCGAATGTAGGAATATTGTGTCATGGAACTAAATGGAGCCAACTTGAGATTCAAAAATAAGCACTTAGTACCATTTTCAGGTTTTCTCCTCAAGATCTAGTCTAGTCACAAAAACTATTAACTGCACAGCACTCTCTCAGGAATGAAGTTCATAGTTGCAAAGTTTTAAATTTTTTATATAGCAAGTACCATTAGTCTGTGACTGAAATATGATTCCCAAAGCATAAGTATGCATATATTACACTGAGAACTGGATTTATCAACAAGTATTAAACAATTCATAGCATTCAGGATTTCCTTGCTTATAGCAGCCATCTCAGCTCACAGCTCTGTTCAAGGACAGCTTGAACTTTTTTTGTTTGAAAGACAGCAGACTGATTTACCAGCTTAGCCAGGTGATTTAGCCATCAAAGTTGAGTTCAGCAATAACATCTGGAGCTACAGAAGTGATTATCAGAACATTACCTCAGCTTAACTTTAAACCAAGCTCTGCCCTTCTTTCCAAACACAGTTTTTAATCTTATTTAAAGCATTTTGATTATACCATAAACAGACTGATTTTCAGGTATCTGAATGAATTTACAGAACTGACACCTTTGTGAATTGAACCAAATATGATTGACAAGCCAGGATTTACTTTGCAGAAAAAAACCCACCAAAACAACATAGTATTCACAATATTCACACTGTTTTGTGCATGCAATTACACTTAGATCATTTTAAACTACTAGCTATTCACTATGAAATAGCTGGACTAGATTTGTTCCCAATTTTGAAATCTCTGTGTAAGAAAAAAATGTCAGGCTGTTGACAGTGTTGAGTAATTCCTGTCAGATTCAGATAAAATGCAGAACACACAGTTTTCTGAATGCCCACTCATGAACATGAGAAAAGCTGCTTACTTCTAACAAAAATGTTGGATCCAAAAAGAAACATATAAAGAAAACTTCAGACAGACAAAAACATGTGAGTAGCTGTGATTTGCATGCCCCTCATAAACAGTCCACAGAAGTACTAAAGAATTTGTAATTACTTTTTCAGTTAAAAGCATTCCAAATGACCTGTGGTAGATAAGCAGAAGGACACATCCTTCATCCCAAAAAGGTAAGAAATCGTAATTCTATCCCCCATTAAGGGTTTTATAATCAAGATTAAGCAATTAACTGATTTAAAGGCTTCAAAGCAGAAGATTCCCAGTTATGCCTACTGAATCCTTCTCAGTCTTATCCCAGAAGGCAGCAATTTCAGTTACAGCTTCAACAGTTTTCTTGTCTTTTTATGCCTATATTGGCAAAGGAGCATCACAACTATTTCTTAGAAGGCTTGTAATTCTGTGATATGAACAAGTTCTATATAAGCAAGATACATGGGACTTGGTGGCCTATCTCTGTGGTGTACAGAATTCATAAACTAAGGTCTCTGTTACTGAAAAGCTGATTATTGACTGTAATGAACTAATGAATGAAAAGGAATACTTCAGTCCAAAGTATACCTGTGAACCGCACATGTTACTGGTAACAAAAGTGTGACAGGAGTCTTTTGGCCATGTTCTTACAGCAGCATGAAGTATATTGGCAATTTACAGGCCATTGTGTAGCAATCTAAATAGACAGTACCAATAGATCTGTTGCCGTTTTCACTGGGGGAGCGTTAATTGCCTTCACAGTGGCTGATATGGGGATGTGTTTTGGATTTGTGCTGAAAACAATGTTGATAATATTGAGATGATGATGTTATTGCCAAGCAGCTCTTACTCAGCCTTTTCTGCTTCTCACATAGCCATGCTGGAAAGGTGGCTAGGGGTGCATGGGAGCTGGGAGGAGACAAGTCAGGACAGATGACCCCAAGTGACCAAAGGGATATTCCACAACATATGACATTATGCCAAGTAGATAAAGTGGGGGAAAGAAGAAGATGGGGGCATTCAGAGTGTTGTCTTCCCAAGTAATCATTACGCATGATGGAGCCCTGCTCTCCTGGAGATGGCTGAACATCTGCCCACCCATGCAAAGCACTCAATTAATTCCTTGTTTGTGTGGCTTTTGCTTTCCCTATCGAACTGTCTTTATCTCAACTCACAAGTTTTCTCACTTTTACTGCTCTGATTTCGAGTTGCCAGCCAAGGTTAAACCATGAAAACATCCTTTACACATCAGTCATTTCCAAAGTCAGTCAGCCAGACTACTAAAATTTTCCAAATAGACATATAATAAATTTTCATTTGATCAAATTTACAAAGTTGAGAAGAACCACCTTATTTAAATTATAACAGATCAAGGGCATTACTCTTTCTGACTGCAATATCTGACATACTTGACTTACATAAGCACAGCTCAAGAAAGTCCTATACATTCAGACAAATTCAGAAAAGTGTTTCTTGTGAGCTCAGACTCCTAAGCTGTAGATATTAAAATTACTGGCAAAACCACAGTGACAGAAACATCCTTTTCAGGAAAGAAAGAATTACTGACAAAACATTTCATCAAATCCCTTAGCACTGCATTTTGCTTACTTCCTTCTCAGTTCCAAACAGACTTTTGTTGCTAGTAACACAAGAAATTGTTTTTTAAAAAAATCCAGAGAGGCAAGAGCAAATATATTTATATTTGTGGGGAAAATATGTTTCTAGTTTTTTATTTGTTTTTATTTGAAGGGAGTGGCTATCTTAGTTACAATTCATATGTCAAAAGACTCTAAAACTACAGACAAGGCTACAAATGCTCTAAGTATATGATAATAACCTTAACAGTTTCACCAGCTATCAAACCTCCCTTCTTGGACATGAAGTCCAACACAGGAACACCGCAAAATCCAGCTGTTTAAAATACTGAACAGTACACCAAATGCAGCTTTTGCATTAAAATGGCCAAATGCTTGATCAGATCTCAAATTAGCTTCAGTCTCATGAAGTCATGAAGAAACACAGTACTAGCAAAGGAGAAGCACTACCGAGGGGGATAATCAGCTGGAATGGCCATACAAAAAGAAACATCAATCTGTTTAGTATAGGTCAGAGACCAAGGAGAATCTAAAGCTGCAGCTCAGGAGCTATTCTAAGTAAATCTAGGGTACATGCTGCTGATAAGAAGGCAGCTCTCTTTTATTGCCACACCCTCCCAGTCGAATCTGTGTATACAAGTGATGCTGTGAAAACAAGTAAAGCTTAGAAAAACCCAGAGCAACTTTAAGCTCCATCTTACTATGCAGCTGCACATGTAATTGTGCCAACATACAAGAAAGAAACAGTCATGCATCATCATACTTCCTGGCAGGAGCCTGCACTTTCATCAACTTAAAGCAATCTCAACCCACAGTCTGAATTTTAGCTTTTTTCAGAAGTCTTGATTTGCAATCAGGACAGGATCAGAGGATATCAGCAGATTTGAGGAAGTATTTTATAGGGAAGTAGAATAACTGTAACTGGGCAGTGAGGGTTCACTTAGTATTTGTATATATAGCGTCCTTGATTTACTCACAGTTTATTTCCCTATCACCATCCAGTCTTCTAGAGCTGCACAGCCAGATACAGCTCACAAAACACAAGCCATGTCTCAGAACCTTCTCTCAATACTTTGGTCATTCTGACTTTTTCAGAGCAGCGACCTCTGTGTTGGGATTTGTGTTTTTATTTCCACACAGAGCAAATAAGTCATGCAGCAGCCTTCCTTACAGCTGAATTCCTCCAAAAGACAGCCTCTCAGGCTGAGAGTTCCAGCACCCACGGCTACATCGTATTTCACCTCCTTGTCTTCTGTGCCAGGCAGCTCCAAGTCCAGAAGATACATGGCGAGACTGATTCAGAGACAGATGCATCTGCATGACATCCAGTCTGGACACACGCTTTACAGCAAAAGAAAACCCACAACAGCAGACTTCTAGCAACAGCCTGCAGCAGTGGTATCTGTTGTTCACAGACCTCCTCCGCACTTAGCATTTTTGCTGGAAAAAACGCTTAGACCTGAATAACAGGTCATGTTTCAAAGTTTGCAAGTGCTGTGCTCCACAGGCTATTGACCAAGCAATAGCCATTTTGTTGTTGCTAAAACTTCACATGCCTGCCTCCAGTAGGTGCAGAGGCACAAAGAGACTGCTACAGCATCAGGCAAAGTATTTTGTCCAGAACCTAGAAGCAGGAGCTTTCGATCTGACTTAAATAATATATTGCCTACATGAAAAAAGCAGGTTTTTTTTTTGCTTCTACTAGTCCTCCTTTGGCTGTACCACAAGAGGAATTGAATTAGGTGTCTAGAAACAGCTCAGCTTAACCCAGCCAAAAACAGGGCTACCTAGCAGCCCCTGAAATGGGAGCCTCAGAATCAATATAAAGAAAAACACAGCAACCAAACCGGTCCATTTGTAGTAGCTTACCGTGTTTTAAATATGAAACACTGGCTTTGAAAAAAAGAGAACTTTCGAGCCTCCTGGGAAACTAAATATCCTTTCCTTCAACAGGTCACAATATTTGTTAACATTTTGAGAACTGTCACCCTTAGCCAAAATGGCCTTTTATATTGTAAAGCTTTAAATACTCAAAACTATCTAGTGCATGTTGTGCTCTATGACGAAGTAAGTGAAAAGGGTCAGCAGCAACTCACTTTCAGAAACAGAACTACAATGCAAAGCTTCTATTACAGCTTTATATGCTCCTTTTCAGTAAATTCACTAAGACAAGGTAAATCAGAGACTACCTGAAGAACTAAGTCCTAAACGTAAGCTGTGGGGACAACAGCTAAAAAACTTCAAGCTCTTCCAGGTAAACTGAGGACACCAAGCACAAATCAAGTAAGTTGAAAGCTACATAAATTAAGCATCTTCCCCCTCCCTTCCACAGTTATTAGATGTCAAAATTCAAGAGAATATTACTATAAGATAGTGACTTTTATAGTTAATAGAAATGATTCTTTAAGGATACTTTAGACGATAGAGACACTGTTTAAACATTCCACTCCAAGGCACGTGGGGTCTTCAGCAAGGGTCAATTACAAGAGATGATGAAGAGTCAATGACTGAAGCAGGACAGAAGCCTGTGGATTCATTCCCTTATTAAAAGCATGATATGGCAAATCAATTAAAACTACTGCAACTAATGACTGTTAGGACTATTTAAGGTAAGCACTATTCATCTGAAAAAGGAGTCAAGTTTTCCATATCTTATTGATTGCTTTACCAGCTAAATATCCCATTAAGCTGAACTTATACCTACAAAGGTTAAAAAAAAAAAAAGACAGTGCATTAGTTTCATTAGTTTTACAAACAAAGGGTTTAGCAGAATGAAGAATGACACCCTCAACACTACTGGAAAGACTGTAAAGCAGCAACACACCTTGTAACTAGTCCTTTCAACAGATACCTTTTAAGTTAATTCACAGCTTCATAACCAGTGCAGTTTCAGATTTGTGATAAGAATGAGAAATGCAAAAGAGCTGATTTTTAAAGAAAGCTGCTTCCTAGGACTGTTGTACTTGTCTATGAAATCAGAGCAGCTAACCATATTTTTATATGGATTAAAAGAATCAAATGCATTGTGAAATTTAAGGACATTACAGGCCTCTTAAAGCTTTTTTCTTACAAAAATTAATTTCCCTGAAAAGGCTATCTGCAACATTCCTCTCTTGTTAACACTTTAGAACTTAAAGGCAAAAAGGTTCAAGAAGCATACTAATCATATTGATGAGTTCAGGTCTGTGTGATCTCGTGCTTAATAGTTAACCTATCCTGTACATCAAGTCCCAACATCTGGATAACAGGAGAAACCACTTCCTGTGCCATGGTAAAATGGTAAGATAAGGTTTTAAAAATAGGAAGGTTTTCAAACTCTGCAGCTATAAATATCAAACAGCTACAGAAGCATAAAACTGAAGCCAAAAGCGTCTTTGAAGAGATGAGCTTTCCAAAGGCACCTCAAGCATACCAATCTCTCAGAGGTACTTCACCTATATTTTTTTTCTCTATTATTGAAGAAAGTTCACCTTTCTGGATGATGCTTAAATTCAAATGCCCCTTCCTGAACATGAAGTGCGTATCACACAACAAATATAGTCTTTTGGTTAATCAAGCATACAATATTCAAAATGAGTTGAAACATAGGCCAAAAAAGATCACACTTACCTTAGCATGCTTTAATTCCAGTTCTGCTAGTTCCACCAGATTTTTTCTGAATGCTGCAACTCTTCTTGTCTTAAAGTCTATCAGTTCTAAAGAAAATAAAAGTGGACTCATTAACAGTATCCTTGCTAGTGACCTCAGACTTTCCTTCAGGATGGAAGAGGTAAAAGGTGAGAGAAAGCAAAAGGAAAAAACTCAAGTTTAATCTCAGCACATTCCAGGCTCAAAAATACTGCTACACAGTCAGATGAAAGCAAACACCCGTTGCAGTTCCTGACTTCTAGGTAGCCTTTTGTGGACAAAAAGCTCTTTTGAAAACAGACTGCTTTTAACATTTAATTCTCTTGTTCCACCTGCACTGTTCTTTCAAGGCTGGTATGTGAAAGTCTAGGGAATATACTAAGCTAAAACTAGAATGAACTACACCATGCTTTTTTCATATAGCTTTGTGGCTAACAGGATCACTCATTCTCCACTGTCTCATTTACAGGAATCACCAACCAGATTTACTGGCTCAAACAACCCTTAAATGATAAAAACAGAAGAACATGTGTTTAAACCTTGAACAAATCTGCCCCAAACTATGAGTCAGTGGACTATTAACTCACAAAAGTATTAACCTAAAAAAAAGACAGTAAGTTTCAGTGTAATCTCATTTCATTATTTCTCCCTTCTCTAATGTAGTATCATATATGAGACAGACTGGTGCCTCACAGAATAATGCATAAAACCAAAAGAAGAATTTCAACAACACTTTAAAAGATTTGACTGCCATTACTGCTGGCAGTTACTATTTTGTTTCACTGCTTATGCATATAAAAAAAAGAAGATAACAAGTAGTTTGCACCTAGACTTAGCTCTGCCTAATGGAGCTATGAGGAACCAAAGAAAAGTATAATTTGAACTTTCTAAAATAAGTAAATACTGATTAAAAAATAATAGTTTTCCTTAGGAAACATTACAAAAATGTATTCTCATTAATAGCATCCTAAAATCTGTTAATTTTCAAGTAGTAACACAGGATCAAGGACCACCCAAATACCTTGTTTTGCCGATTCAGAAATTTTCTCAAATTTCTGACAACATATTTGTTGAGTAGTTTCAGCTTGCAGAACATCTTTATTTTTTGCTCTTGCTTTATCCAATGCCTTATTGGCATTTTCATAATCCACTAGTGACCTAGATCTTCTGTATAGGAGATCCTATAAAAAAACCCATAAAGTTTGTTTAGAGTTTACAAGACTCTACCCAAGGATTTTATTATATACCAAGTAATTAAAAAAAAATCAAATTAATTTTAGTTCTTCTTGCTGTATTTCAGTTCTTACTAAATAATTTGCATTCACTTAGTTCATCCTGCAAGACCCACAACATAATACTGTTTGGCCTCCATCTTGTTTCCCTGACAGAGGCTAGCACCAGATAGCTTAGACGAAACTCCAAAAAGCCTAAAAAGGCAAATTATAGGAAATTTCACAGCTTCTTAGATTAGAAACAAACTGCATTTAGATTACATATTTTAAATACACAGAAGGCCCAAGAAACATCAGTAACATTTTGCTGCGCAACAGTTATTGCTGTGATCATCTAACTAGAGATATTTTTCATCCAATGCTTCCTCATTCTGTGATGTTATTTCATCATCTTACATCCAACGACAATAAGAATTAAATTTTCTGTAGCCACAGAGTATCAAATTTGGCCCATGTGTTTTTGTATCAGCACTAGTAGATCATATGGAGTATCCAATTTTAATATTTAAAGAAAGGTAGCATTGCTTGCACTTACAAGCACCAAACACATTGCAAACACACAAAGAATTCACAAACAGCTCTTCAACTGTTTTTTGTTATACTGCATGATTTGGCCTGGACAGGTGCCTCACACAGTTCCACAGTCAGTCCCACAGTCAGCAACTGCATTGTTACTCCTTACATACAAGAGAGAGACAGGTTTTACAGTTAAGGGAGAAATTACAGGCTAGAGGTGGCGGCATTTTAACCTGTCTATATTGTGTGTTTCTCAAGATCATCCCTTATCACTTTCTCTCTTTTTTTTATGTCAAAGAAACACAATGCTACTGAACAAAGACCCATAAATTCACCTTAGCAGCTTGAGATTCCCTAAGGTAATATTTCAGAAGATCAGAAAGTTTAAGATCTTCATCAGCAGATACCCGAGCCTCTATTTTCTGGAAAAACAGAACAAAACAAAACACCACAACCAAACAGAAAAACAGTAAGTAAAAGCATCAAGTTAAAAACATCCAGACTTTGGGTATTCACTTGTATGATACAAATTCAATTTAAAATATACAGTCCATGACAGATTGTCTTTTTCAAAAACTAAGATCAGACATTATTGACAGAAAAGATGCAAAATGAGAAGCAGTATTAGGATTTTGTATTAAAATGTAAGCAATAACCTACTGTGTGAGCAGTAATTGACAACTAGATTTCTATGTTACACACAGCTTTATTTTACCCCCAATATCAACTATATAGATCATATGCTAGAAAAACCTCAGAGAAACAAAAGCTTGTATTAAGAGTTACACAAGAAGTTTTATATGTTGTTGCTGAGATCAAAGGAAAACCAATTTTTAAGGCAACTTTGTGGACTAGTTTTGTAACTGTTTGTACTAAATGCTCTAAAAAGACCAGTAAATTAATTTGCTTGTATCTGAAACAGATATTTCTATGAATTTAAAAACAGAGTTTGTAGGTGCATTTTTTAAACCCTAATTAAAAAAAATAATTTCTAAAATGCAACATTTTGAGTCACAGCAAGTGTTTCTGTTAATTTTCTTTAAAGTACATGCTTATGCAGATACAATTGTCTATTAGGAAATGCACACATTTTTCATTTGAAAGTTTTCCTGATACATGGCATTGCTTTCTAGTAAGCCAAACAAATAAGACAAAAGAGAGAAGATATTTCAATATCTGCTTGGAAGCATCAGCAGTAGTATTTCCAACTCAAGTAACTGCAGAAACAGATCTTGGCTCCAGAAGAAAGCAGCATGACCACCATTTTTTGGATTAAGGATTACATTTCATCATTTCTTTTATCCATAACAAGTCATGTGATACGCAGTAACAGTTATGGAAGATCTTTCTGCATTTTAGAGGAACAGAAGCTTTAATAATGTATTACAGGAAGACTGCCAAGAAATGTTTAATAGACTGAAGATTCCTAAGGTTCATTTTACAAAATCATTTTACAAAACAGATGAATGAAATCTTATGCTTTCTCATTCCCTACCACACATTGCTTAAATGCTTCATATAGAAGCACCTATAAAACATGCACATATTAATGTCTAATTGACACACGACATTAGTTTCATAGTACATACCCTTGTTTTGTCAAATAACTCTGACACCTTCAGAAAAAACCTGCACAAAGGAAACAGCTTACATTACAACATTAATTTGAACAGTCTAATTACTTTCTAGAACTCACAATACAGTCTGTGTCTGGCAAAAAAGACTGCAAAAGCACAGCTTAGAATTGTAATTCACAGAACTCAGAGAACACACTAGTTTCAAACTATAGCACTTCAAACATCTAGGAACTGTGCAATTACGAAAAGGCAAGGACAAACAAAGGATAACAGATGGTGGGTTTTACTAAAGAATAACTGCAGAGCTCCTCAAGGATTCTTTATGCTTCTGTGAATTAAAGCCCAAACACCGGCACCCTGGTTAACTGTCTTACACTTTTATCAGGTGTCCTTTACTTAAATTGAATGTACTTTTCTTCACACAGTAAACATGGGGCACATCTTCATCACAGGAGACAATACAAGGCTTCACTCTAACGGCAGACTAAATTACAGTCAAATTATACTATTTTGACAGAAGACAGATGTGATTTCTGACAGACCCTAACAGACTACAACAAATATAAATACTCTTAACAAGGTAACTGATATGTAAGCTATCAACACATTTGAAAGTATATAACTGTAATTCAGGTAAATGAATAAAAATAAGTTAACTTTCATATTCATCTCCTACCTGTCATCACAGTGACACTAACATCACACTAATGAACTATGCATGCATATTCACAACGTTGACATCTTTAAGTTAGTTAACTAAGTTTTACTTGCAGATACACCAAACTCCATCTTCAAGCAAATCACTAAAAGATTAAAGGACAAATATCTGTACATAAAGACCCTCTTCTATTTTCAAAGTTCTGGGGATCTCTGTAGATTCCTTTATTTGCCTAAATGTGCCAGAACAGTACAACTGTTTTTCAAGATCTTGGTACAGAGAACACTCAAAAAAATCTATAAACTCAGACTGATACCTGTGCTTGCTGCACATGTCAAAGCACTTATTTAAAAAAAATTGTGAAAGCATTGGGTTTCTTTCTTATTCTATGAGGACTTTTCCATCTCAACTATGTAATTTTCTACAAACTGGAAAAAACAGCATTTTTACAAACAAATATTTAAGCAAAAATATTAAAAGCAGCCTGTTACAGAAATGAAATACTAAAGAAAAAATATGTTGATGTGATATAGTGTAATAAATTGTGGTTTTCTTATAACAAGAGCTAATAATCTCAGCAGATCACCATTAAGACTGCTACTTATCAAACTACCCCATAAATTATTAACAATATCTTACTTGCATATATCTGTGGAGTCCTGCGTTCCTAATGCATATAATGAAGACCCAATTCTATTGTAGTCATCTGCCACATCTAAAAAACAAACAAGCACTTGTTTTACTACTTCATTCTTCTTTTTTCTGAAAATTTTGAAGTTCCTCTCTTCCTTCGAGAGTTTTTCTAAAAGGACATACTTTAACACAAAAGCAGAAATAAAATTGCAATCACATCACTTTTTAGGAAGGATAACTTCACACAATAAAAATGGTGCCAAATCACACAGCCTGTAATTTACCTAGGAATATTTTACACGATTAGAACCTGCTGGCTAAATTTATTGTGAAACTTTGTTAGGTTTCATTTTGGTGGAAGATGTACAAACTCAATGGTTAAAGTCTGAATTTAAATCTGAGTTTAAAGCTATCTGAAAAAAAAAATAATCACAGTTTAACAACAAAAAAAAAAAGTCTGTGTGCTTGAGAGCAGTAAACTGACTACAAATTCCAAACTACCAGAAATAGAGTGCTATGTGCACAACATACTTTCTAATACTGTCTGGTTTTCAGGAAACCCTTACCTCATCAACAGTCACCGGTAAAGTAGCATTAGTGTTAAAGCATTTTAAACAATGAAACTGGAAGTGGTATTTGTATGAAGGCTGTATAATTTGACTAGTGAGGTATTGCCATATAGTAATCATAAAAATCAAATTTCTGCACACATGACTTTTATAAAGAGCTTTTAGTATAAACTCAGTGGATGATGAAAACTCTCGCAGATCCAAGCAATGAACAGGAAAAATATATTTGCTTGTTATTTGTGCCTTTAAGCAGAATTTTGTTTTTTTAAATAACATAACCTTGTTTTAACATTATGAGTGGGTCAACTTCCACCCAATTCATTACTCTATACATCATCAGTGCAGTTGGTTACAGTGAAGAACGATATTAGGAAGCTATTAACCCCCCCTTCTATTCCTCCCGTTTCAACATAAACATAAGATTTTCTGCTGGAAATAGCAAGTCAGTGTCTTTACTGCAACTCTCTGCCAGTCATAAGTTATCCATAAACTACAGACTGCTCATTTCTAAAACAGGCTTCCCAGGTCTCTGCTTTACTCTGCTAGCCAGAATTTCAAAAGGTGCCATTTGTCCCAATTTGCAGTTTGATAAAAGTTGTCAACAAACATCCTATGTGACTTCAGTTTGAAAACCACTGAAGCTCTGTCATGAGTTTAATCAATCCTTTCCTTTCCTCTACAACCTCATTTCAAATGATCTTCCTGGTTCTACAACCAATGTAAAAGGCTTCCTCACTATGCAGATAAATCTTGGCACTTCACTACTATGAATGAAGTTCAGTTTTTACTTTAAGAAAGCAAACAAAAACACCAGAAACCTCTTCAGGTGGGAACTGAATGCAGACACAGGGCTCCTTAATAGTTCATTAAGCCATAATTCACTCACTCTGTCTCCTAGCAGAGATACTAAAGCTACAAGACTAAGCCTTCATACAACAATAAGAGAAGTATCAAAAGAACTCAGTAAATTCTTAGTTTAATATCTCTTTCAATATCCACTTCAGAGGTCTTATCAATGGAGATTCATAAATGATTTTGTGACCTGCTTTTGTGTGAACTGTATTACTGTAGATAGCAAAGACAGAATCTGTAAATCAAACACAAACTTCAAGAAACTAGACAGAATCTAGTAGATCAATTTTGATTTATCTAGGCACAAAAACTTACAATCAAGGGCAACGTAGGAAATTTTTTTCTGAGCTTCTCAAAACACAGTAATCCTAAGCCAAACACAATAGTCCTAACTCAAAGCTTTTTCATTTTCTCAAATAAATGCACTGCACTTGAGAAGACTATCTAGAGCTTTCATAAATCACATTTGCCAGCACTCAGCTCAGGAACAGAAATCAATAGCCAAGTGGAAAATCTTGTCTCAGTAAAAAAAAAAGGGATCCTGCAAACCAGTCTACTGAATGTACACATTCCAGTCTCCACTCTAAATGGATGAAAAATGAAAACCCAGTCTAGAACTCATTTCCTAAGTAGGAGATTGCTACTAACAAAGGTAACTTTGCTAGCACAGTAATGCAATGCCTAGTGTGCTGAGAAATCAACCTCATCTAATCAAAAACAACTTCACTAGGTGTAAAATCATATGGACTGCTATATTACCCCCCTCTACACCTTAATGACTAAGAATCAGACTTCAATAAATAATACATAACGTGTTTCTCTTCAAGCAGACAGCATGAAGAGTCAAGGTATCTTCAGTGTCACACCAGGCTGCTCTTACTCCATCTAGTCTCCTACAGCAAAGCCTAAACTTTGAAACTCAGATTTAGACTATCTGAAGGCTACATTTGGAGAAATAAATTCACTTTTTGCATGCAAAAAGAAAAAAAATTACTTCTCCTCATGAACAACTTCTGTCCACTTTAACTAGTACTGTTTTCACCCTGGGGAAAACACCTTACTTTTATGTGATTTTGTCATTTTATCAGATTTGGCAGAGGCATCTTTGACTCGGTTGTGATATTCTACAAGGAATGTTCTTTCATGTTCAAAGAAGTCATCCACATCCTACAAAAAATAAAAGAGAACAATTAAAAAACCAGTATTCACTCACTCTCTACAGAGCAATTGCAGAGTAAATTTATACATCACTGTATGCAAATGCAATCTATTTTTATTGTCTAAAACACCATTTATGTAAATGACTTCTTTTCCACTTACATCATGAGCTGAAGTTTTACTAAGAATTTAATAAGAATTAAGAATCTGTAACAAGCATCCTAAAGGTCTGTATGACTACACATGAAGGATATAATTTCACTACTAACTACTAAAGGGTCACCAAAGGGTGACAGAAAAATAGAATACATGTCAAGTACTTAATAAAAGGACATCTACCTAGAAAAGAGGGAGAGGGGATGAAAGTCAGCCAGTTGCACAGATGCTGTGGTTACAGCAGAGATGATATGAACTCCTAGCCCAGAACACTGATCTTAATGACAGGCTTTTTTCAATTTGGTAAATGCAGGTAAATTTTACTATTTTCTGTATTACAGTTTGAGATACTTGGTTTATATTAATTTTTTTAAACCCTCTAAAATAACACAGATGCTCAATACCATGTAATAGCCTACAGCGTGGGCTTTGAACAATGTTCTTACAAAAAATGCTTGTTATTTGGACTTTACATTTTTCTCCAAGTCATAACTAATCCATGGTTATATCCACCTTCCAGCAGCTACAAAACTCAAGATTTTAAAACTAGAAACTTTAACTCCTGTAAATTGCTAGCAAATGGAAAGTTACCACTAGAAGGAAAGGAGATCAAAAACCATCCTCTGCAGAATTTATGCTTATTATAAAACCGACCTTATAGCTTTTGGAAAAGTTAAAATTAATTGAATTTTTTTTTTTTGTCTCTGTTACATTCTTGCATCAAGTGGGAAACATCGTATCACCTCTACTGCGGCTCTTAGCTTTGAAACAGCAGAAGGATTCTACTAGGCTGGTAAAATTCACACTGTGTTATTAACTTCTTAACTGAAGCAGTTGTAGAACCAAGTTCTCCTTCCCACTGTATAAAATGGCAGATTGGAACAAAAAAACACCCAGATTATCAATTATCTATGGATTAAAAAAAAAAGCTTAGTTTCATAAAACAGGGGGAAAGAGCACCGAAAGCCCTCTTTCACACAAGCAAACTCTTAGTTATCTTGCATCCATGCCACAACTTCTTTCCCATGGTCTGCCACAAATTCTTAAGTTAGATATCCCTATAAAAGTCCCATTTTTGTACCTATGTAAAATTCTGCTTCATAAAAAAAAAGGCGACAACAATGTTAATACATTTTAAATCTTGATATGTGAAGCAATAATCACCTTTACTCCTGAAACAATGACACCATCTGCCGATTTAACCATATTTTTGAAGAAGTCTTCAAGTTTCTCTTTCTTATTTTTCCCACGAACACTCAACTGAAAAACAAATTCATTTATCAAGTTCATTCCTTTTCTGGTCACAATAAAAGCTTTAAAAAAAACCTAACTAGAACTGCATACCATAACTTGCTACACCTAAACTGGTTCTCCTGCTCTCTGCTTAGTGTTATACTCTGCACTAAAGGGGGACAGGGCACCATGCATCCAGAATGACAGACTACCTCATGTACTAGATTGTTCTTTATCACCTAAAATACTGTTCTAGAAATTAAAAAAAGAAAAAGACCGGCAACATTCTAGCAGGTAATATCAAATGTACAAGATGCACACTTCAGTAATCAATAATACATTATTTATCATGCACAGAGCTGCTGACTTAATATAACCATGTCTCACTCTTAAGTGTAGATTAACAGATCTTTCACTTCCAGAGGCTAATGCCTGTTTCAGCCTCCTCAGACTCCTCCTGTCCATCTAAGTTCGCCCAGTTTAGGTAACTGACTTCCTGAAGCAATAAGCATTTCTACATCAAGCAACGGAGGAACCTCGTAACATATTTTGGTTACAGTATGTACCCAGCTGAGCCACTCTCTGTAATGATTTCTTTAACATTCTATGTTGATTCCTGCAATTTTAAAAAGTAACTAAAAAATGCTTGCAGAATATTAGCAACCACTAACTCCACCACCAAAGAGTTATGAATCCAAAAAGTCCTCTCCATTATCTCAACTCAGTGGTAGCCACACTCATGTGGGTAGCCACACTAGTCCAATACTTAAAAAAAAAATAACCAAATTTTCACTTACATTGTTAACAAAAAGGCTTTACTCATCACAAATATTTAATTAGAAATTCTCTCTAGTTTTGTTGGCAACAGAATTTATACCCTAGTTCCAGATCCTAAAAATTAGTGTTCCATCTTTCTTGTATCATTCTTCCTCACAACAACAGAAAAAACTTCAGTCAGACTGGAAAAGTATAATGTCATGTGAAATCACCACCAAAAGTTCATCTTTTTAATTCAAAATATACTAGACTTCCATTAATATTTTTGATGCTGAGGTTAGAGTACAGTGCATTTGTTTCCACAGATGGCAGAAAATTAAATCCTACAGACTAAATGAATTTCTAACTTTTACAATACAAGTATGTCTGGTATGAAGGAACTGATGTAATTTGCTCCAGGAGGTAATGCCCTCTTAATCAATTTTCCATCCTACCATAAAAGTATATCTTGATTTCTGTTGCCAGCAATTCAGTTTTCAATACTCACATCCTGATTATATTCCAAGAATACATGGAAATTTAAATCCTTTCTCAAAATAGGATGTGCTGCCACACGACACAAAAACACTTCATGCATTGCAACTGTCTTCTTGAATATTGCCAAATATTCACTAAAAACAAGAAATAAGACAGACATAAGAACTTCATATGAAGCAATTAAGTTTGAGATAAGCCTAGTGAGCAGTTTTAAGAGATCCTCAGTAAGGGTACAAAATTATAAGCCAACGTAATAGAATTTATCACTCCAATATTTGATATAGACATAAATAAATAGTACAATGATAACACTAGTGAGAAATGTGAAGCCTGAACACATTACAGAGAGACTTTTGATGAAGAGTCAACAAATACACTCTGATTTTTAAAGTTAGCTAACAGACACTGGTTTGCTGAACGTGTAACCTAATGTCATTGTCCTTTCCCCAGCACCCCAAAAAATCAAGAAACTGAAGTACAGACTACAGTCACTAGGCACTATGTACTGATGTGCAAATTCCTTCCTCCCCATCTCCATCCCCATGCCCATTCGCACCCTCCTTACTTATTTAAATGTTCATGTGGCTTTGTTAGCTGTTTAGATGGTCTTTTATTTCACATTAGAGTCCCTAGCCTTTTTGAGCCAAAGCTTACTTAATGTCTTGTTTCATAGTGATTCTAAAAGTGAAATTAAGTGGTAGGTACAACCAAAAAAATCACATTTAACCATAACAATCACATAGTTGCCCAGTTCAGCCAACTCAACTTCAAAGCAATTACTCACTTGCAATTTAATTAAGAGGAAGGCATTATTATCAATACAAGTTTGCTATAATTCATTTTGCTTTGCAAATTCAGTGAATAAGATGTAACTCATCTAAAAATGAGGAAGGGCTCTTTTTCCCGTTCTGAGGTCAAACACTGAAATTATAATCAACACTTTTCCTTCCACTATGTGCAAGGAGGTTAAGATTTACATACCAGCAAACCAGCAGGGCCAGTGTTGGGAGATGTTTGATCTCAGTGAGAGTAGTAGTCATTCAGTGAAGACAAAAAAGGAGGATGCAGAGGATGGAGGTGGCAGGAGAAGAAACCCAAAGTTTTCTGTGTTATCCAACCCCTAACCAGACCACAAGAGAATCATGATCAGGGCCGCTGGAAAACCAGATTCTTTAAAATCTATAGTGTTTTGCTAATTTCCAGTTTTCTGCATATGAAGTGTATATCTACTCTGCTGTAAATTATGTTGTACATATTGCTAATACAGAGCTTTTTAAGACATTTGCTCACAGCAGCTGAAGTTCGGAGAGAAAGCAGCAGTTCTAAGAGTTCTATGTACTTTTCTTGCCAATTCAGAGCTCTTGATAGAAGCAGTCTAGAAGCAGCGTAAATATACACTTGAAAACTGAAACCAATGACAGGAAAAAGATCAAAGAAGTGAATGCATGATAAGGAAAATGGACGAAGCAAGGAGAAACTTCACTGCGTAACTCAATATGGAACAAGAAGCCTCAGAGCAGATATTTCAATATAAATTAAATTCATAGTGAGGGAAAACACTATTTTCAGGAAGTATATTCTCCTTGTGCAAAAGCAACAAAAAAAAAAGTGTCAAAAAATATTTTCTAGTAATCTTCATATTTCTTGGGGAACAGAAGGTTGGCATGTATGTTTCCAGTACCAATCACATGCAAAACTCCCTACGTCAATCCCTACATGTATAAACTTAAAGTCTCACTATGCTTTTAAAATGTGGAACACCAAAACTAAGATAGATAGAGGTTATCTCTGCCCTTTGCAGATGTTCTGTGAAGAAAAGGATCTAACTAGGTTCTTTCTTACAGAAGAATGTACAAGAACAAGCCAATTTATTTTTCCTGTTTCAGAAGATCTTCCATGAAATTATTTCTACAATTTTCCTAATGGCACTGATCATGATCACTAAGATTAACCCTGGTTACGTAGCAACTGGATTCTCAAGCCTGTATCTCACAGAGAACCGTTACACTGAAATCAGAAACATGGGACAGCAAACGGCTTTAGAAGTTCTGGGATATAAATAAATAAAGATATAAAGTAGTAATCAAGTCTACATACGCTTCCAGTTCTTGTTTCATCTTGGTGAATTCTTCTTTAGTCATCGATCCTTCCCCTTCTCCAAGTTTCTGCAATTTCTCCCTGGAGGCATCAAAGTCAGGCCTGGGTGGTGCTGGTGGAATCTGGAATTGAATCCAATTTTTTTTTAATCTCTCATCTTCTCAATCAAACAACAGCCATTCAGTACAAGAACTGTAGGTTGCCTGCAGCTTTTTAATATATGGCTCTCTCTTTCATCATTCATTATAGCATTTCTGGATGAAGTCTCTCATTCATGAGTTATAAGTGCTGCATTACTATACCAATTTTGGTCAAGTGTCCTTGAAGATTACTAAAGTATGAACTAATGACTTCAGTTTAATTACAACAGAAACCAAATAATACCTAGTTTTCCCATGACGAATTAAAACCTGAGATCATTATTTTCTTTCTAATGAGTTTTGGTTTAGCTTATTTGGTATTACACAACTGTTTTCACACCATCCATTTATAACTCCCAGAAACTTTAAACCAAGAAAACCATTCCCTGTTGTTTGCAGACACTAGCGCTTTCTTGCAGCACTGCTGACATTAAAGATGCATCTGTTGAAACAACAAAGCACACAGTAAACACCACAGTCAAACTAATCCTGAATTGTTGTCAGGAAAGGGACACAGAACAAAGCTAAACTATGCTTAAATTTTAGTTACTGATATGGGTCCATGATATTAACACATTACAAAAACCGAAAAATCCAGCATATAGACAGTCAACTATCTGAAACTAGTTATTAACACACTGAAGGTCTAGTTACTTCAAATGGCGTTGCTGACTAAGAAAAGATTAGCTCAAGAAGGGTATGACACATCACAGACTATACTCATTATAATGTACCCCCTAATGAATTAGAAATATCTGTTTACCTTCTGCATCAGCAGACACCCCCCAAACACAAAATGAATACCTGTCATAGCAAGATGACAAATATCCCTGTTTGCAATTAATGTACGAACAGCAGCATCCATTTTTAATATGCACTATCATAAGGTGACTATTTTGAGACCTCTTGTCTCTGGAGGCTTGAAATAAACTTCAAACCTTAAGTTATTGTGTACTGAAGTTCTCTGTAGTTCTACATGATATTTGTATTGGTTCCCCCACTCTGATTTATGGTAAAAAGATTCTGATCTTTATAATGAAAACTGGAAAAGTCTAATTATTTCACTCTGCAATTCTAGCTAAAACAAAAGCAACATGAAACTTGTGAAACACTACCTTGCAAAAACAATACCACAGCTCAACTATCTCTCACACTTTTAACACAGTAGCCTAACATACACTTGGAGAGAGATGAAACTACTCATTCCTTATGGGAAAAGTGAAGAAAGTATTACAACTACTGTAACTTTTCTCCAGGCTTGCTTCAACCATGAAATTTGTGTAATTGCATGAAGTTAAGTATTAGAGAAGCTGATCTGATTTCAGAAGGAATGAACACCTGCTGTTTCTACGGCATTTAAAAGCAGTCTCAAGTACTTTTGATACAGCCCACAGAAAATGGTACATATAAACCAAAAGAACACCAGTACTTACGATATAGCCAGCATAGTCCTCATTCTCAACAAAAGAATCATGAAGCCAAATAAACTCTTCATGTTGCCGGACAACAGAAAATTCATTTTGTTTGAAATTTGGTAAGGAACTCTAGAGGGGGGAAAGGAGGTAGAATTATGGGGGGGGGGGAAAAAAAAAAAACCACACAACAAAAAAAACCAGTGTTTTTCATTACTGTATGAGAAGTACCTTGAAGGAACAATAGAAATGTCCCTGTAAAAATAAATGAATCATCCAAGTAAGGATTTGACACAAAAAAAAAAGTTCATTCAGCAGTAATTACCCTCATCTTAATCAGTGCAGCAATCAATTGGAATAGGTTGCCCAAAAAGGTTGTGGAGCCTCTGTCCTTAGGGATATGTTTAATATTTTATCCATTTAATCTTGGAATTCTGTTTAGCATCTTTATCAGTGATTTGGATGAGGGGATGGAGTGTATCCTCAGTCAGTTTGCATATGACACCAGGTTGGGTGGAGACAATCTGCTGGAGGGCAGGAAGGCTCTACAGAGGGATCTGAACTGGCTGGATCCCTGGACTGAGGCCAGTTCTGTGAGGTTCAACAAGGCAAAGTGACAGGTCCTGCCATTGGGTCCTAAGAACCCCAGGCAGTGCTACAGACTGGGAGCAGAGCAGCTGGAAAGCTTCCTGGTGGAAAAGGACCTGGCAGTGCTGGTTGACAGCAGCTGAACATGAGCCACAGTGTGCCCAGGTGGCCAAAAAGGCCAGTGACATTCTGGCTTGTAGCAGAAATCATGTGGCCTACAGGACTAGGGCAGTGATTGTTTCAATAAACAGTTTAAGTAAACTTTCTTTTGTACATAATTAAGAAAGTGTTGAGTCTACAAATTCAAGTTTTTACCTTTGTATGGACAGTGAATTTCACTTTATCCCTCTCACTGAGTGCATCTGAGATATCCACTTGCAGAGCAGCATCAGTCTGAAGATCTACATTTATTGCTCGAAGCTAAAAAAGAAAAATCTATTTAGCTTAATTTAAAAAAAAAGTTAATTATATTTCCTTTATTCTCCTCTGAGAAGAACGCTGATCCTGCAATGCTGAAGACAGATTACAAAAAACTCCAACATTAAAAGATTATTCTCAGCAAAAAAAAGAAATCCCAGTAGCACTCCTTACAGCACAAATAACTATACAAATAATAATCTCTTTTACAGTACTCCTTGTTAGTGCACTGTTTTCATTTCTGTATATTGTTACCTTGCTAGTAATTGAGATAGTCAAAGTACATTTACAGACAGCAGCAAGTTTGGAAGGTTTTTTCCTTCATTATTCTCTTCATTCCCCTCACTCCTCTGAGCTGACAACCTGCTCTAAGTAAATGTACTTGTGAAGGTAATTATAAAGATACTAACAGTTGGGAAGGTACTTTTAAGGAGAAATGTGGTCCTATCTTTCAAAGAAACAAGAGCTGTTAAAGACCTGATTTACTCATATTTTCTTACACTATTTTTCTGTTTAATGTTTCTCATAATATATTGAAAAAGCTTAAAAATAATATCCTGAGCTTTACAGAACTAAATCTTCTCAGAGATATTTTTCTGAAACCCGCACAACCAAAAAACTCAAACCCAAGATTTCATTATCTTCAAAATGGCAAAAGTGCAAGGAATACGCATATTTTTGCTACAAGACAAGAAACCCAAACTCTCTTACAAAGTAATTCCAAAGTCATAGCGAAAAAAATGAGACAATGATCAAATATAGAAAAACTGGAATATTATCTGAGCACCACGATATTTGGCAGTAACTCGCTTCAGCAGTACTTGTTGCAACTAACCGCATCTAGACTCCAACTGGAAATTCAAGTCCCCTCGCTCTTGCACCCTTGTTGTTATAGAGGAATTTGTTCCATGACAATTTCATCATGACCAACCAACATTCAGAATGTTTTTACAAATACTAAGGCTAACTCTGAAATCTTCTCTGAAATCACTGTCAAAAAATATTTCAACGTCATGCTCATGAAGCATACTTTTCACTGAGACACTGTGTCTTCTTTACATGCTGCATTTTTTCTACAAATATCCTGTTCTACAGTATAAAAACGTTTTGCCTCACAAAGATATAGACCTTTTTCCATGGAAATCTTTTCAGGATTGCATTTTGAAGTCCATACTTAAGTACAGAAATGCTTTAAGTATCAACAACACACAGTACAAAGGTTACACATGAGCAGATTTTGAAGGTAGCTCTGTAAGCCACGGGAGCAGCACTGGGTGAGAAGCATCCATCAGCTGCCACATTTTGCTTTCCATCAGTTATCTTAATCTTTATCTTAAATCACAATGGCCAGATCCCACTTTAACTAACCTCAGCGTGTGGACAACTGTTGTCTATGTAGCAGCAACCAGACTAATGTATCTTAGAATTAGTGTATTAAAGTAAACCAAAATCATGCAGTCTTACATATTCTGCTAGGCCAGCAAAATGTAAGAGTTCAATAGCTATTACACAAGTAGTAATAGCTTTTTCTTAAAGCAAAGTTGGAAATCATTAAAATGACCACTCAGTAACATATGCACACACCTGATTAAGGCATTGCCTTTGTTTTGTTTTGTTTTCCCAAGGTTTAGGGGGTCACTGCCTTGTACAAAGGCATATTATCACAAAACAGTCCCTGGCAGATCAATTCACAGAGGCAGAATCTCCTAGCTCCTACTGAGTTTACAATGTTCTTAGTATCTAATTTAGGAAAGAAAAATATAATGACATACCAATGTCTCCTGTATGCCATGACACCACATTTTTCAGTGTGTAAAAAAGGTTTTTGTGGTTACACTGTCTGGGGTGCTTGTTTTTCTCCAGTCCCCCCAGGATACATTAACAGACATGGTAATCTCAGCAAATAATCTGGATTATCTAAATGGCATTTTTGTAATCTTTCACAGGTCACAAATATTTCTACCAAAACACTTTTCCACCTCCTTTTTTTTTTTACAAAGTGGTACTACACAAAATTCTAAGATTCAGTAGAACAGCTGATCGAGTCTGTCACTAGAACGTATGTAGGGCACCTTGGTCATATGCACAACTTTAGATACAAAACTCTTATCTGTGCTAAGAAAACTAAGAACAAAACACGACAACTTCACTCACAGCATACAACTCTAAAGGAGTATTTGTTTGATTTATACTGAGTTAAGTCTGTAACAGTTTTGAAGAGTTTAATCATATGTTAAATTATGCTACGTAGCCTGACTGCCAACGGGGAACATTTTTGTATGCAATGGTAATGAAGCATTTATGAAAGGTGTCAAAGACAATCAGAAAATTGAAGGACTTTAAATGTATTCATGTGACACAAGGTTCACTTTGCATTACTGGAAATTGAATTCACCAACAACATCATTGCACAACAAACTTAAGCAAACTCTTCATCACTACAAAAGAAAACTACCACCAATGGATGGTTTTCTAGTTGTAAAGGAAGTAGGAAATGAAACACTAAAAGAAGTTTGATATGGATGAAAACTGAAAGTACCTTAAAGTATGGAAAAGAGAGGTAAGATACAGTCCCTTTTTATCTTGCCCCTCTCCAAGTCTAATACATACAAATCACATCATAATTTTATGCTTAGATACGTACTCTACATCCATGTTGAACAACTTGCAAAACAAAAACTAATTTGTTTTAGCTTTACAGTTTTCTATGCTTTACTAAGAAAGTCCCTGTTTTATTCAAAGGGTCTAGAAAATACCAGAAGCCAAAACTCTGGCTAAATGATGTTACAGTACTAAAAGAGAACACAATGCAAAGAGAGGATTTTAGCATCTAAGCTCTTACTTAGGAATCAATTATACTTCAAATGATAATGGAAGGAAGCTGATAGAGGCAAGGGAAAAACAACTAAGCCCTACATTCCTAGGTAATGCAACCATTAACACCAACTTTTATGCTCTAAGGTCTTTCAAAAATGTTAGAGAAAAAGGACCCTTTCTTCAGCGAGTTCTTTACAGGCAGATAAATGCACAGAGCAAGGGGACAAACAATACCTTTACAACAAAAGCTTACTAAGTGTCTTCACATCATTATGTTTCCAGCAGACCTGTTCTAAGGGATAGCTCATTTCCTCTGAATGAGTAGACAAGAGTGTTAGCCAAGTCAGCTAAAGTTTATATCTATATAAAATACACAAGATGGTACTAGTAGAGCAATACTGTACCACTTTTCAAAGCACATACTGTTTATATTAGAGAGAGCACAAAAATCCCAACAGGAACCGTGTTACTCCAAGCGAACTCAACAGTATCTTCCTAAGTGAAATTTAGAAAAGCAATTCCCACAAGTTCATTTTATGCAGAGCATTTACAATAAGCTCCTTCTAAAGACCACCCACAGCTACTTCCTCAAAGATGATTTGCAGTGCTCTGTTTTACAGTTCTCTGGAAAAGGCTCCACATGGTATAACACAATTGTTTGAGAATTACTGTTCTATGTGGCATCAGCATAAACTCCAGCCCTCTTTTCATGCCATCACCCCAAGGTTAAACTTAACTGTAGCTGATGAACATGATCCTGCAGCATTAAAAGTACAGCTGTCATAGCAATATCTGAATTCCACAGAGGCAAGAGTACTGATTTTCAAAACTAAAAGCTCAACTACTCCAACCAGAAGTTGTCATCCATACTTTCAAATAAAGGCTTGGCCTACTCGGCAACAAATCAGAACCAGGGAATCACTTTATGAAAAGATGTCTATTTTTACTATTCTACTAAGAAAAAAATTATACTGTTTTGAAGATTAAAGCACAGCAAACCCATTCATGAACAGATTGCCATACTGCTTTTGATTAATTTCCTGTATCACAATCAAAATCATGCAGCTAACAACTTGTGTTTTAACCCAAAGGATTTACACAGCAGGAAAAAATAACCCCAGAGTGAATGATGATTGAAAAAAAGAAACCTAAAAAAAATTAGGGAAACGAGAAGGACACTATTTTGGTTTAATTCTCTGGTGCTGGATGAAGATGGGGGAGGGAAAAAAAGAAAGACTGGACTCGGCCAACTGAGATGATGTAAGTTTTACAACAGTACAAACAAGACTGCTAAGGGATTTCTTAAGGTTTTCAAATTACCTTGTGAACTCTGACGAGAGAAAACTAATAACCAACCCAACAAACAAGTTTCAAAGGAGGTCAGATCTGCACTGTTGTGTTCTACCTGCACCTTCAGATAAAGGCAACTTAACTGTGCACATCGAAGTGTGTTTCTAAGTACCAGGGAGAACCTACCTAAAATACAATTCCACAACTAACAAGTTCTTTGGTCCTTCTTCTGAAAACACTCAAAGGACAACAACAATTTCCACCTTCTCTCTTTTTTATCCAGTATTCTTACTAAAGTAGCTGCATAATTAAAGGCAAAAGCTTTACAGTAGCCAGAATTGGCCCAATACAATATTAGAATGCCGTTTTTAATTTGTGGTCATAAACTGGAACATAAAACACTGAATTCCTACCACATGCATACAGTCAAAACTAATTTAGTACTTCAAATTGTATTTGACACCTGAGTACAACATACATACGTGATAAAAGTTTATACCAACACAGTGTTTCTCAGATTTTTGTATTTTTTAGTGATATACTGTGTGTAGTCACTTCAATAACCACAACAGCCAAGGCAACCTAAGCAATCCTGAAGCTGCTCTTCTGTCTTGCTCAGTTGGTCTTTTTTGAGATAATAAGCAAGAGGGGTAATCGGTGTGAGTGATTTACACTGTATTAGCTGATTTGTTGCTTAAGTGAGGCAGGCAAGTTAAGGAAAGATGGATGCGACAGTCAGAAGAGAAACGAAAGCAGGAAACAGAAGGGCAGAGAAAAAGGTTTTCTCAGTAAGAAGCATAACTGTGGCATTCTGTCCCAACAACAGAACTTCTTTTCAATAAAAGGTTTATTATGCAGCATGTGCCTGCTATGTAAATGTCCCATTGTTATCTACCGGAGAGTCCCTAAGGCCTGAAGGGAGAAGAGGGGCAGGACTGCATCACCCAGGCCCTGGCTCACGGCTGGAGATGGAACCCGGTGCTCCCCAGGGCTGGTCAGCCCGGGCAGTATCGGCCTCGCCGGGAGCGTGCGGCGGGAGGGGCCCGCAGGGAGAGAACATCGATCCCCAGGCACACACACAACCCCCTCCCGAGCCGTTCCAACGAGAGCACGAAAGAACTGTCCTTCCAAAACTTGTGTGACAGAACAATGAGCAGCCAAGGCTGCACACAGACGCCGATTTCGGCCGTGCCAGGCGCAGGTCCCGGCGGGCGGACAGGCAGCCGCGACCCCGCCGCCCGGCATCCCGCCTCCCTCCCGGCACCCACGCGGCGGGCTCGGGCCGCCAGCGCCCGGAGGCCCCCGCGGAGGGGCCGACCCTGCCCTCCCCCGCCCAGCCCCAGGCGCCGGGGTCTCGACGCCTCCCCGCGGCACTTACACCTCGGTCCTCCTCCGAGAGGAAATCTGGGCCGTCGTCCGAGCCTTCCTGCTTGGGGGCGAGGCGAAGGCGGTGGCGCAGGCCGGGGGGCGCGGAGCGGCAAGGCCGGCGGCAGGGAGGGTGTGGGGAGACAAAGCGCACAGGTTAGTGACCGGCCGCGCCGCCCGCCCGCCCCGGCCCAACCCGCGGCCGCCCCAGACCCACCATCAT